ATCGAAGACATTCGTAATAATGCATCGTTGTTGCGAACGAACGTGCATCGTAGGACCAGAAGCTTTCGAGATAACGCGCGAAGAAGGAAAGATATCGAGACGGAATCAAAGAACCACGGGGATCGTCCTCGTTCTCGTCGCACAATGGTGAACAGTGACTTATTTTTTTCAAATCAGTCTACGGATCGTAATTTTTTAGTAAATTTGATGCTCTTTTTTGTAAATTCTTCTTAATGAAATTTTCTATCAATAAAAATTATTTATATTCAATGAAACATACAGATTTTTAACCCTTGGGGTACAAACCGTCAATGACGGCAGCTGGGTCAATTGTGACCCCTACTAATATGTCGAAATATTTGCTTCGTTATTACATATTCGTAATCAGCGGCCCCGAAAATCTTTACATACTAAATTTCTTCTAAATAAGTTTATTTTCTAACATTTCTCGTTCCCATATTGGATTCGGCATTGTGAATTTAAATTCGTAACCAAAAAATTCCACAGATACTGATCTTGTCATCTTAAAAATCAGTATGTTTCGTTAAATACAAAGAAATGAGCAACGAATTTGAAATTCATTATGAAGAATGTTGAAAAAGCGACCTTCAAGTTTACTAAAAAATTACGACACTGATTTGAAGGAAAATAAGTCATTATGTACCACTGCGCGTCGTTTCTGTCCACCGTCGATCCCCCTATCATCCGGGCAGCATCATCCTTTTCTGCTTGGTCAGCTCCAGAAGGATCGGATAATGGAGATCCGGACAATACTCCTGGCTGTGGTCCAACAGCTCAGAGTGTCTTGACCAAATCGTGCCGTCGTAACGATCAATCTGTCGTGCTAGAAAACCACGTTTCGCGGCCGCTCCCACGAACGTCTGGAACGTCGTGCCTCGTCTGGGCGCCATCACCAGCGCTAGGCCGTCGTTCGTCAGCCAGCCGTGGATCGTTTCCACCAAATCGGAACGGGCCTCGTCGAAGAACAGACAGTCCGCGCACAGGATCACGTCGAACAATTTCTCCGGGACGACCTGCGCGTCGTCGTCTCCAGTAGTCCAGTTCTACGTAAAACATTCAATTCAGAAACATTGCAGGGTATTATACTACCCTACAACTGGGGTGGGGGTGAGCACTGGAACCATTGTGCTACATCTTGCCCCGACAATTTCTCTCGATTTACAGATTGTAAATACAGCAAGCAAAAATGATCAAAACCGAAAGGTAATCTAGAAGGTCGCAAGTGTTGAATCACCTTAACTCGAAGGCCATTGGAATTCGCGTAAACGGACGTTCGTGCTGATCTGGCCGTTCGGATCGCTTTAGCAGCTTTGGCCCACTGAACGACCCCACACTCGACGAAATCGGCCAGGTCGTTTCCAGCGACGATGCAACGAACGTTCTCCACGCTGGTCGGATTCCCATCGGTCAGCACGACACTGCTTGGACCGCAGTACTTGGCCGCGATCACGCCCGCCAAACAGCTCATACCGCCGCCGAGCTCGAGGACCCTTCTGCCGCGACAGACCTCGCGATTCTTCAGCAAATAATACGCCAGACACTCCTCCGACGGCCAGATGCACACGTTCCCGGTATTGTTGAAGCCGATCAGCTCGTTCGCCGTGAAACTCTTCGTGATCCACCGTACACGCACGCTGTACAACATGTTCTCCAAAATGGCGGAATACTCGTACCATCTGGAGTACGTGTCCTCCCCGGTGTTCTCCAGACGAACGATCTTCAGTAGATCGAAACTGCCGAAACGACGTATCGACACTTCGTCCTCCTCCGTGTTCCCGAAGAATCCATCCTGGGTACCGATCAACGTCTTCGCGAGTATACGCCACCTTTGCTGCGCGGTGTTCCTCTTTCGTCGGTCCTTCTCCTCGAGCATCGACATTTCACGCCTCGAAAAATGTCTATCGCCCATTATATTTCAGTTGATCAAACACACACAGGTTGAAGCTCGTTCAACCCGTTCCGATCTTTCCCACGATTCCTCTTTGACAAAACGCCGAGTGTTTACGCGTGATGGACGAAGTTCCATCGAATTTCAATCGAGTGGTCGTGATCACCAATCGCCATGGGTACATGATTAAACGACATCGAAGAGATCGGAACAGAAATTTCGCGCGGTCAACGAAGGACATCGGCAGGATGTAGCGGCGACGTGTTGCACACTTCCATCGCGAACTGATGCGCTCGCAATTATTTGCCGAATTAATTGTCGATATTGTACACGTGACAAAACTCCGTGGTGACACGTTTATTAGCTCCGATGAAAGGGGGATGAACCACGATCGAGAGAAAATAAAACTGTCCCCTGTGCACGGTGAGACAAACGAGATCGAACGAAGGAACGACGGGCCGATACTAAAAGACCGAAGCCAACTTCTAAACTCTCGCGCCACGCGACGGATGTCGAGCGTTCACCGCGTCCGATCCGCGCTTGCGCCCCGTCTTCCTATGTCCCTGCACGTACACACGCGCATGCACACGTGTATACGTTTTCCCCTTGCCCCCTACTAACCCTTACCTCAAAACCCCCCCGAACGGAAACAAACATATATCGCAGGCACCCTCTGCTTTTCTTCCCTATTCTTCTCTGTGCTTGACGATCCACCATCACTAGTGATGGGATCGATACCAATGCTATTGATGATATTCAATCGATTCAATACCCAAAGTGCTCAGTGGGAAGTATCGACACGTATCAAAACTTTCGGTACTTGGTATCAATACTGATGTTTCTTGAATCGATACCAATCTAATACGACACCGAATCGAAACCCGTACGATACGTCACGAAAGTGTCGATACCTATTTGATATCTACAGATACACCCATCTCTCGATTTATACGGTTTTTAAATTTCAAAAAACGAATATCTTCTATGTTTTATTTCGTTTATTTTACCCCTGCGTATACAAATATGTATATGGTTTTTATTGTTATTCCTTTGATTTGTTATGGAACATTGCTAATTTATGCTCATGTGTTTTCTATTGTAATAAATGAATTGAAATATATAGCATGAAAAATGTATACTTTTGAATATGTATGAATTACAAATCGACGTTCAGCGCTCGAAGCTCGTCGACTCAGAATGAACGCGCTGCCGAGAAGTATTCATGATTCTAGTAGATATCATATAGGTACCGATACTCTCCTGTAAGTATCAAACAAGTATCGATATTTTCGGGTAGGTATCAAATAGGTATCGATTCTTTTTGATATCTACGTCTTTGATATGTATCAATACCGTATTGAAACTTAGAGAAAGGATATCGATACAGTATCAGTCACGTCACTACCCATCACGTATCCCCTTTTCCTCAAATTTCCCCCTCTTTTGCCTCCAGTGAATCTTTCACCGTTGTACCTATTATATCTGGCAGTTTAATATTTTACAAGTTTGCAAACGGCCAAGGAGAAAATTAGAAGCACACGATAAAATGATACGGCGGTTAGAACCTTTTTCCCTCCATTTTTCTCTTGTTCCGCTGCCTCTCACGTCATACAGAGGGCAGCAAAATGGCGGTTACTACCTACGACGTATTTTCTGGCGAATGTGAAGGGAAAGGAAAGTGCACGCCCTCACTCTGCGTGAAATCTGTCCGGAACTAATGAACGGTTCGGGGGTTTGTGTATTTTGACGCTTGAGAATGATGCTCAAAAGGAACGACCCAGCGTGTCAAGCGAACCAGAAATTGTGCCAAAAGTTTTTATCGCGCGGAAGAAGGACGCGTGTGGTCGGGGGAACGCGTCGAGCCAAATTACTAGATACTTAGGGATCATAACACGCTTGAAAAGTGTTCGTGTCCACTTCAGTCGGTTCGTATACGATGACATTGTGTCGTAACGCCGTTTGCGCGGCGGTTCAATCAAAAGTTTACGGCCACTAACGAGCATGGGAATTACAGCAGTTGACACGGTTCTTCGAGGATCTATCGACACATGTATGGTATTGCTTATGCAACTGCGAAACAGGGGAATAATGGAAAAGCGAGGGACAGAGAGTTAGAACGTATGGGGGGCAAGAAGGGGCGGACACAATCGGCTGCCTTTATTTATAATACACTTTTTAAATTGTTTCACACGAATAGAATAAGATGATGAGTGTAATGTCCACGGATTTCGTTCGACCGTCTAGGCGGATAGCCTAAGCACTTGCCAGGACAAATATAGACATTTCCGTTTCTCGGCGAAACGCGAACCATTCAATAGTATACCAGCAATCGAAACAATAAATCTTATGCGCAGAGACACCTACTGTGTTATGTATACAATACTCGCGGACGGGAATATTCCTCTTTGCCTAACGACTTCCGTATACATAACCAACAGACTGAGACTAGTCCAATTTTATTCATTTAGTCCATGAAGGAGATGATTATTTTTTCATTCTTGGAACAATCATAAGTTTGAAATGTATGATTACGATGAATCATAAACTTCTTACTACGGTTGGAGGTTAAAATGTTTTCTAATGTGTATACACGTACGTATACACGAAGAAAGAAACAATGTGACAAAGCAACGAACGTCTACGGTTGTCATGTTTAACCGAAGATGCCTTAGATAGTTTCGAAAGAATGGAAATCGCTGTGTCGTACACTAAAAGCCGATGAACGAAGTAGAAATTTGTAGGTGGAATGATTTCCGTCTGTCATTCGTCACAATTTACGCCACTCGCGTATGCGTATGTTACAACTGGAAAACGTGTCAATATACGTATTGTACGATATAACAAAAACAAACGAATCCAATACAGAATAATGAAAGACAATGTTTCGATTAAATGTTTGTCTAGATTCTACCCTTGTATGGTTCTACATGCATAGATTTTATCGATTTAGATCGTCGTAAATTCCCGTACACGGCAATTTTTAGCTAATATCCGTTTCATTCGTCCGCAGACGCAAATTAGATCCGAAGAAACTAAATGTTGTTCGCGAGACTGTATTGTAGAGAACATGCTTTGTAAAAATTGTACTCACATGTTTTCTGTACTCGTCGAGGAATTCTTGTTGATTTTCTGTAGGTCACAAACGGAAAAATAGGATAACACTTGGAATAGACTGCATTTGGAAACTTAACCTCGATTAATCAAAGTGCTTGTTCAAGATACTTTCACGACGATACACCACACTTTGGAAGCTCGTTTTAGTTGTAAGCACATATAGGTACAGCATGCACACTTTCGACGTAAACGCTAAGCAGAACTAACATATTAATTATTAAATACACATCATCCCGACGAAGAAATACACAAAAAAACGAAACAGCTGTTCGCGAAGCCGATATAAATGGTATACTGGCGCTATCTAGGATGAACGAACGTAAACACTGACAATGTTCGTTGTGTTTATCACAGTTGATCACAGCTTTTTCCGCCACGCGATGTCGTTGTATGGTTAGGAATGGTTAGGAATGTGCGCAAGCAACAAGAACCAAACGATCGATTTCACGTTAAAATGGTACCGTGTGTGTTTTGATACTTTCGCCGAAAAATGTTAGCGGTACAAGATTCTCATCGGTTTGACGGATCAAATTATTCTTTCGTCGTATCCGAGGGCGTTCGTGCGACTCAGTATGGTTTTTGGCATACGGTGACGGAACGGAGAATTAGGAAAAAAATCTGCACGCTTTTCGCGCGTACCAATAGAACGTTTTGTACATACTTTAGCCTATTAGCGGTATCAAACTCGCTTCCTATGACGTAAATTACTCTCTAGAATATAACAAGATGACCAAAGCGAGAGTAGGGTCCGATTATATCCCCTTAGTGGAAGACGACATGTCGAAAGCGCGGGTTGTTTTATCGTTTGCTAAAGTCGCGTGGTTCACGGTCTCCTTACCGTTTCTAGCATTTATTTTTTGCGTTATTTGGTCTCTGCTGTACAATTTTGAGCATTCTACGTCCACTCATTGCAAGGTATGTTACTTATTTGGTGACAATTGTAAATACATTATGATGCTGCCATTATGTTGATGCTCCAAATCTGATTATCAAACTGTTCCATAATTTACATAAGGAGGATTATTACGTACATAAAAATTTTGCATCAGGTCTATAATTTTTTACCATCTGTATCTGCTGCGATTGGACATTATAGACCACAGAGAGATGTATGGAAAATTGCAATTGGTCTGCAAGCATTGATCAGAGTCATAGTATTAGTAATGTATTCCCGTTATTACAAGGAACACATATACAAATGGGCACAAAATATATGTAACATAGCAGTAGTTACGTATGCCATTGAAAACATATCTCTTGTTACTTTAAGCTTTTGGACATCAGATGAAAATTATGGTATGTATATTTATATATTGCTGAAACATTAAAATCATAAAGTAATTTACATTTCTCTTACAGCCTTCCACAAATTGTCTTTTATAACATTTTTGATAATGTCTTTTATTCATATGCTCATAGCATATTTTATTATGAGAAATTGTCGTACTGTCACAAGGGAATTGTCTGAAACTACTTCTTTGAAATGGAAATGGAGAGCTATGGTGTTGAATGTGTTGTCTATAATGTTCGCATGTTACTTTTTTTATAGGCATAATAGATATTGCGAACCTCTAGGTGAGTTTAACATTGTCCAGATAAGGGCAAGAGTTTAAGACAGAATTAAAAACTTGATTACTTCATTTCAGTCTATTCTATGTTTGCGTTAAGCGAATATGGAGTTGTTCTTTCAAATATGGGATTTCATTCGACCGCAGCTTGGGATTTTGCAAATTCGCGTCTTATGATATCAGGAACGAGATTCAGAGTAATTTAATACCGTGCTATACACATACTGTTATAAACACATATCAAAAACATTATCAAAAAATACTTATATCAGTATTTTACGTTTATCTTTAGATTCTTTTCGTTTTATTCCGACCTCAAAAAGTACAAAGTACAGTTGTATTTTAATTTGGATGTACATACGTGAATATACATAAAAATTCTATAAAAATGATAAACTAACGTGGCATCGTGTCATTATCAAAACATGCAACGATAAAGTTTGAATATGATCTACGAAAGGGTATTCTTTAAGAGTTCATAATTTAGTATGAAGCGGTACAAAATATACATTATTTAAAAACCGTCTTAAATGAAATAATTACACGTTTTCATGATTCTGTAAAACTTTGCAGCAGAAATTTTTTTTTTTACCAATCGCATTATCGTTTCGCGTCATTAAAACTTGAAATCAGTTTCCAGTTTATCGGCAATATGTTTAGCTATTGCCAAAGAGCTAGTGGCGGCAGGAGAAGGAGCATTGCGACAATGTATCACTCTGCTACCGATACTACCTTTTCCACCATCAAAGACAAAGTCATCTACTAATTTTCCATCGTTGTCCATTGCCTGTGCACGGACACCCGCCGGACCCCTACGTAACAAACACCGTAAAGCACAAGAAGCAAGTAAATTTTGAAAGGAAAAGAAAAAACTTTATACTCCGACGAAGTTATTTTTCTACTTACCTTTTTACATCTCTGTACGATACTTCGGGAATAAATTTTTGCAAGTCTTTCACGGCAAGTGGGTAAAAGATAGATTTAATAACTTCTTTGCATCCTGGTATAAAAAATCGGAAGCACAGTTTATACAGTCCAGGGAATTTGGCCATCTCTATACAGTCTTTTATGTTTATATCGCGCCATCTGAGAATACACGAATATCGATTATAATTATGTTGAAATAGGATATATACAATTATAATATGTAACAGGATGACTCGATAGTATAACCGTACCGATAACCCTCCCTGGCCAGAGCTAAAACCGCATTTGGACCAAGCCATATGTCGCCGTTCATCCTGGGGGTAAAATGAACTCCCAGAAACGGAAACCTAGGATCTGGGACAGGATATATGTTGGTCGTACATAAATGTTTTTTCTTGTCACTTAATAATAGGTATTCGCCGCGAAAGGGGACGATCCGTGGACTTCGATCGCATCCTGTCATAACAGCTAGACGATCCGAGTGTAAGCCAGCACACGTCAACACGTATTTTGATGATAAACACTACAATGAAAGGCAACAACACCAACAAAGAACAAAGTTGCACGATGTAGCAACAGAATGTCCACATCAAAAGGAGAAGGGAAAAAACTTACTTTATGTTTCGATCGTATCGAAATAGGAGCCAATTCGTCGCTTCCTTTGGACTCTGTCATTTCTGCGAATCCGGTTACTTCGTAATTTAGAAATATTTGACCGCCCATGTTTTGAAAATCTTCGGCGAAATGCTTACAGACCAAGGCCCAATCAACTATACCCGTCCATGGTGACCATAGTGCCTTCTCTCCCTGCGTAATATATTTATGTGTTATTTTGTACGAGAGGGTTTCGTTCCTTGCGATGAGACAACATTAATTTTCAATACTCGACATTTCGGCTCGTAATTCGCTATGCAGTCTTTCTCGACCACCTCAAGATCCGGCACATTGTTCTTTGTTCCTCGATCGAACAGATCGTCTATTCTTTTCACTTGATCTGGGTTCTGTGCAACAATGAGTTTGCCAACCTTATTATGGGGTACGTTGTGCTTGCAAAAATATTCGTACGACAGTTTCAAACCTTCCACGCATAGTTTTGCCTGCAATCATTTCCTGCCGGTTCAAGAATCTCTTTAACGAAGCGTTGTTCTATTATCCAGTTAATAATTTCCATATCATTTTAAACTAATTTTTTTTTATATCTTATCGATAGAGAAAAGGCAGTACTAAAAAATGCATAACTGCTGTTGTTTGTTTTTGTTTACTTTCATGCTTCCGGGAGTGTAATAAATGCCGGCGTGTACTACGCCACTGTTATGTCCTGTTTGATGTTTTGCTACAGCATTCTCTTTCTCAACGATAGCCATCTTTAAATTAGGGTGTCTTATCATCATTTCCCGAGCAGTGGCGCACCCAACAATGCCACCCCCGACGACCACCAAGTCGAATGTGCCACATGTGTCATTGCTGAAAATTTCATATACCATAAGATCTACTACTTACGAAAATTATCAACAGGACATCCCTGAGTTTTGTACTTAATTTTCTCCGGGAATGAGAAGGTAAGACAATAGAAGATTTTCTATCGCAACGTATGAAATGTTAGGAAGTTGATAATCGGCTAACCTGGAAGACGTTCCATACCGATGTACATTGGACAGTTGTCGGAGTATTATTCGTTTTGTCAAAGCGGCAGGCATATTTGTTTTCATTTTGTGATTGATCGCATTAAATTTAGGACTGATTGATTTCTAAAAAAGATACAAAGGCATTTGCTAGATCATCTGACGAAGCGGCAATACCGCTTGCGTGTATTAATTTTTCCGTTTAATAAACGTACGTACATATACACGTACGTAACATACTGCACAATTTTTCAATTGCTAACGCCTAAGATCACGTCAATTCGACGTTCGTTTTTACTGAACGTTGCATACCTACGTGTCTATTTTATATTCATTGCAATCAGAAAGCGCTTTTATACGTTCCCTTTTAGTAATTTTGAATCGTCGATGACAGCGTATTTACAAGTAAAATTGTACGTATGCATATGCAATTGAAGTTCCATTAAACTTACAACTATAATTCCTGAAACTATCGGTTTTCTCCAATCTTTAATACATGCGTGTATATAAATGAAATAAAAATTCTTTTATCGAATGTACACAATTATGTGCTTATATTACGTAAGAAGTTCCCAACATACGTATCACACACGTGTACATGCGTGAATACTCAATGAACTCTATAGTAAAACCTATAGCAGTTGGCTTACTAAACAACGGAATATGGCGCTTCTCTTACCTTCAAATTCGTTTAACGAGGGTCATGGTGTATGGTTTGCGAGATGAAATGTAATCCACATATAAGTACATCTCTTCAGTTACTAAAGCAAGAAAGAATCGACACGTCGCTTACCTAGTATGTGGCGCCATCACATTTATCTTCCGATACCACTGAAATTCAACGATTACTCTTCTAACTATTCGAGAATAGACTTAAACATTACAAGAGTTTTATAAATATTCCTGTCTTTTCGAACCGAATCGGTCATGTGGAATTCTTGGTAGTAGCGATTCAGGATAATGAAATTTACAAGTAGGAACACTATTGTTTCAATGATAATTATTTTATCTATATAAATTTGTAAATGTTAATACGCATCGATGGATACATATTCTTTGTGGTATCGTACTTGCACTGTTTCTTTTACAGTAATTTAGTTTTAGCTCGATGAAATGGGCATACAGAAAAGAAACAGAGAATTAATGAACATTGTGAAATATAGTTTGTTAATTTTTCATACGTCAAGAATACTTTCCAAAGGACAGCTGGTGGCGGGAATAGATTCCTGGGGGAAAGGGACTAATATACAGAAATAAGGACCAAAAGGGGTAAAAAATGAAAGGTGGAAAGAGATGGAAAAAGAGCTCCTCGGCAGGACTGTAACTATAACACGTTGCAGAAGCAAAATTGTGCATATTATAATTTCCTCGGAAAGCATAATTTATTTTCGTTGCTTAGTATACGATTACGTGATTATTTAACGTTAAAAGTGTTGATCAAGGAGTAACGAAATGAACTCGGATTCGATTTAATCCGAATATTTGACTGAGGTGCGTCAACTATTGTGTGAAAGAACGTCAAACGGTGTCGAAGATATGGGAATTTCTGTTCTACGATACATAAGAAAAAGGGAAAGATCACGGTGTCGAAATGCGTCCGCGTGACACGAACATAAAAGCACGAGTGAAAAAAACAGGAAACGAAGACGGGATTTATTGTGGTTGGCTCGGCGGAAAGTTACGTCGTCCCTGAGCCATGATGCGCAAGTTCGATGCGCGAACGTTGTACGGCGTCTAGTGTCAGTCAACCCGGTGACGGCTTCTGACATGCATGCGTTTCTGCGGTTGCTCGTGCCGGTCGTTAAAAAAAGTTAAAAACGAAAAACTGTGGATTTACAACAGGCACGGGTCAACGTTCCGGTGTATACGAATCGCGAGTGTGCAACACGCTGCAACATTTTCGGTACTGTTCGCGTGCAAACTGACTGGAGAAAACGGTGAATCGTATCGGTGTATTCTTTCAAGGTGGAGTTGTCGTTGAAAATAAAAACAGAAAAACAATGTAGATTCATGATCTTACGGGAATTCGACGCGATATGTGCAAACGATCTACAGGTGAGCCGGATTCTTGTATGGGAAGATAAGAGGGTCGAATCAAAGCAGTGGTGGACGATACGGAGGATGCACCGAGGAAGATACTGCGACGAACGAATCGAACGATTCTGAACAGCCATCGATACGAGATTCCGGATTTTTCGCGGTACAGAGGAGAAGCTTTCGTTTGGGAAATATCGGCGGATAGAAGAATATATTCGTGACGATGGATGCGTAACGAATGGCAAGTTGGAGGAGACGGTTATATCAGTGGTGTGGTGTGAAGGCTAACGAGAAAAGCACAGATCGATCGATCGGTCGTTCGTTCAGTCGGTAAACCGTTGGAATCGAGGAGACGACGATAGTTCTAGTCGAGGGAGTTTTGTCAAAATCGAAGGAGGCGCGAAGTGCGCGCGCGGTGCCTCGCGATCTTGACGGGAGTCGTCGTGATCGTGGTCGTGTGCTCGTGTGGGTCGTGGTAAACCAGTCGGCGGAGGAGAATGGAGGACGAACTACGATGCCCTTGTTGCAAGGAATTGTTCGTGGAGCCGGTGCTGTTGCCCTGCTGGCACGCTCTTTGTCTCTCGTGCGCGGTCAATCTTCAAGCGGCACCGGACTCGCCGCCAGAGTCGACAACCGACTCATCGAACGCCCCCGGATCGGACCAGGAAGCGGACAAACTCTCGATCCTTTCCGAAACCGATTCCGGGGTGGTGTGCAGCAGCACGTCGACGAGCTCACGACCGGGTAGTTACGTTGGCACACCTGGAAACGGCGGGTTTCCGCCGTCGGGCGGTACCTTGTGCCTTTCCTGTCCCGTTTGCCAAAAGACTGTTTACTTCGATGAGGGGGGCGCGCACAATTTGCCCAAATACAGGGCGATGCAACGGATCGTCGAGAAATACCTCGAGTCACGGAACACGAGGATGCAATGTCAAATGTGCGAAGGCGAGCCCCGTGACGCGACCGTCGCCTGCGAGCAATGCGAGGTTGGTAAATTTTCACGAATTTATTTTCCATTTCTTACGAGAAGGTATCTCGAAAATTCTGTGCTTTTTTTTTTTACAATTCCGTATAGGATTTATAGGGGCCCTCGTTAGAAGCATGTGGTAATTTTTTCGGATTTTGCTGGTTTTCGGTTCTTCGAGGTGAAACCATCCCTTAAAGGTGTTTTCTGATTTTTCTGTGTATCTCTGAAACTATAGTAAATATCAAAGAAAGATTGTAATGAAAATTGAAGTGCTTTTTATGCTCTATAAAAGTGTGTAATGAAATTGTTTAAAATTTGTTTATTTACTTTTTTGAAAGACAAATTTTTGACAATTTTATTGCATAATATAATATATAGAAAAATCGTTAAATTTTCATTGTAATCGTCTTTTTGTATGTACTTAGTTTTCAAGACATACAGGAAAATAGAACACATATTAACCTTCAATGGGTGGTTGCACTGCGAAGGACCGAATATCAACAAAATCGAAAAATTACCTGATGCTTTCATTGAGGTCCCCTAACATACCTGCGAAGTTTAAAAAAAAGTTGGAATTTTCAAGTTACCGATGTTTGTTTATTTTGAAGTTTATACATTCTTCTCCTTTTTGTTATCGGTATTCTTATCCTTGACTGTCAATTTTATGCGAGCTTCCTACGTGTTTACTCGAACATTACTTGAGCTGCAACAGATCGTTCTCGATGAGTAATTATGAACGTTGAGCACCATCGTTTCGCAATAGCGGTCGTTCTTCGAGGACCCTGTCGAAAATCTGACAAAAAATCAAGTGACACAGATCCGGCGTATACGGTCAAAGAATGCTTATATACCGTCTGAGTCTTCCGATAAAGCATTGCTGAATTTCTACGTAGTAATGTATACGTATTACTATGTACACGATTCAAAACATTAACAAAACGTTCGCCACGTGGTACATAGGTAAACGTCTTTCGAGTGATTCACCGCTAAAACGATCGAAAAACAGCGTGAAGTAACGTCACTGTGTTCATCGTATTTACGACAGAGTGTCGACCACTGCGAAATATTATTAATAATATATACAATTATTTACGGGAAGTCCCTTTTGTTACATGAAAGTATAAAGGCAAATTACAGGATATAAGTAAAATAAACAATATAGTACTACGATATAACAAATAAGTACAATATAGAGTACAGAGTGGCACGTGTACAGTTACGTATGATATTTTACCTGTGTCTTGATATATCAAGGAATAATTTAAGCATTGATCTCCGTTGTTGACCAAACAATATCATTCCTTGCTAATAATTATTGTATTAGCTTCGACCCATTTCATTTTCTCTACTTTGTTAATAGCAGTGTCTCTAAGAGGAAACGAAGTTTCCATAAACAATGTCGTTAACACTAGATTGTAATTTGGACGTTTACACCGAGAGACTTTTACGGCAACCGTTCGATTTCTTCTCGATCGCAAGAATTAAAAGACGATGACAATTTTAAAGGAAAAAGGTGACACGATCGTACGGTTTCAGGTGCTGTACTGCGACGGCTGCAGGGAATCGTGTCATCCGAAGAGGGGCCCACTGGCGGCCCACAATCTGGGCCCACCACGGGGCAGCTGGCAGTCGAGCGGCGGCAAAGGTTCTCGAGGCCTCACCGCCGAACCCACACCGGTTTGCAACGATCACAACTGCGAGCCGTTGACCCTGTATTGCGCGCTCTGCAAGATCGCGATATGCGCTCTGTGCCTTCGGGATCGACACACGGCCCATTCGCACGACGTGCTGCCGTTGTCCGCCGCCTGCAAAGCGCAAAAGGTACGTTTTCGTTCAGTAGATTTTCTGGAGGTTTCAGTCGATCACACGAAGAGTGTTACAACATTTGGATCGCCGATTTACTTCGGTTTCTATAAGGGTTTCTTTCGGTTCAACGGAAAATATCTGTATAATACCGGTATTTTACATTTCGATAGCAGTCCCTGGTAAATACTGGTAAATTTCGTCATTCTGTTTACGAGAATACCTCGTCATAGGGTCAGACACTCGATACTTTCCGAGATATTCATGATCGAAGTTTTAATCAGGGCTTGAAAACCGTTATGATATCGATTTAGGTTCTCGAAACAGTTCTGAGGAACCTTTATTCTGAATAACTGCTTTGAAGAACTTAAATTTCAAACTATTAATTAAAAAAAATGTTAATATCTATTTCGTGGTAGGATATTTCTTGAAGCAATGAGGCATACACAAAGCAACATTACAGTCGGGACACCAAAATCTTGATTCTTTTCTCAAACCTTGTGAATAACATTAATAGTAAACACAAAGTATAAGAGATTACTTATCGAACGACCCAATATAACAGTTTGAAACAGTTATTTCGGGATCGTTTCGAGCAGTCTTGCACTCACCCCCTTCCCAGCCTCGTCATGGCGCCCGGACTCGATCTGTCGTTAAACAAGCGAGAAATTGATTGGGTGACCTTGAAGAAACTGGTTCTAATGTGTCGGCCCATTCACGGAACATGATCGACGTTTCTATTTCCGCGACACGGAACTCCCGCGCGAAGCACAACGACCCCACGCGCCGGAATCGGGCGAGTCGTATTAGTTCCAGGTCCGGTCGTATCAGTTCCAGGTCCGGTCCGGAACAGACAATGGGAACAGAGAAGGAGGAAACGAGCGGGAGGTCGATAGGATCGACAGCTGGTTTCGATATCGCGTGTCCCGTCTACGTGGGTGTGCCCCCACGAGCAGTCGAACGCGAAACCTAGTCATCGATTTTTCTTTGTTTTTACCCCCGAAGAGACGCAACATCTGCTCGTTTCCTCGATGCTGTCGCCGTCTGCGATCGCTTCCTGTCCGATTAATTCAGGAGGAAAACCGGTCTATCGGGCAGCAATTTCGTAATTGCTCGTCAAACATACACCCGATCCGGTCGAGCACTTTTCCCGTGCACTTTTCCTTCCATCTACAGGGATGGGCTTCTTGAAACCTCGAAACCCACGAACGTTTCAAAACAAAGACTGGAGAAACGGAGCAAAAGAGAAGCGAGGAGATAAATAATGTAGATTTCGTACGAGATTCGAAAGAGTACGTGCACCTCGGTGTCACCACGAACTGGGAATATCGAGCAACGCGTAAGAATGTTGAAAGACGGAGGAAGGAAATCGCGCCGGCGCGGATAATCGTGGAAAAGACGCGTAAAGCTGCGTCTACACTATATAACATAATATGTTATACAGCAAAGTTATAAAACTCGTTAAAAAAACAGAAAGAAAAATGTTATATAATGTGAATGTTACATAATATTTTTAGTGTTAAGCTGCGTCTACACTATATAGCAAACCAGTGTTATGCAACAAATTTTTGTGTAACCCTGCTATACAACATGTTTCTATAACACAGACTATATCGTTCAGATAAGTCTGTAACAAGTTATAAAAACGTGTTGTATAGCAAGGTTATACAAGAATTTGTTTTGCTGTATAGTGTAGACGCAGCTTAAGAGGAGAACAAGAGAACGGAGGCCGCGAGCACCGGTATATCACGATCGGTAGAGACGGAACGAGATTCGAATCTACAGAGACTTGCCAGAGTATTCGATATATCCTACTAGAACGTACATACAACTCGACGTTACTCGATTCGGTTACGTTTTATCTTACGACCCGCCGTTTCGCCGTCTTACGAGACATCAGAGACCCGAGACGGTCTCTCGAGCCCCCGGTTTCGAGATTTCGTTGGAAATCTCTGAAATTTTGAAGATCAGTTCTTTCCACTGGAAGTCTAATATTGTTTGTTGAAAGATTACATATTCTTTCTCGTATACCTACACAGGGTGTCCCATTTGGACGTGACTTATTTAATTGTGAAAACAAAAAAATTTTGTATAGTATTAAGTGGTCAAGTATCCTGCAGGAATTGTTTTTTTTTAATGTTCTTTTATAGAATTTTTCAAGGTTATTGATGTTTTCATTTTCGGGGTTCAAGGTCATATCATAATACATACCTGAATGTATGTTTTCATGAGCTACGCGATGCAATAGGAACATTTGAATAAAAACAACGCCTGCAGGATACTGACCACTAATAATACCATTTAAATTACGTATAAAATATTTTTTGTGTTTTTATAATTAAAAAAGATATTTAGGTCACACTTAATTGAGACACCCTATATACTATAAATGTTTTCGATTACTACACGTTCGTCCTTGTTGAGTCGACGTTTGCATTCAGGGGGGGGGGGCCACGAAATTACACGTGCATTCGGGGGTGCACACTGTGAGCTCGTTTCCTATTGTCCCCCTACGGTTGCTCTTCGACGTGATCAAAGCGGGGGCACGAGCACGAAGAAAACCGAACCACTACGTCCACGTGGCCCTTTCGCCACGCACTCGAGGCTACCAAGAAAAATTGGAGCGCGCGTGGCCGCTCGCCGAGTGTCCTTATTATTCTACATCCTCATGTACGAAAAACTTTTGTGTAGAAAAGTTGTATGGTTTGAAAGGATACATTATTTAATACATATATTTTTTTTGTAAGTGGAGGCGTTTCGGAAATTTGAAGGTCAACTTCGTTTTTTTAAATGGAATGCTATATTTTTTATGCCAAAATATACACGAGCGTTAAATTTTGAGTAAAAAGGCACTGATTTTTATTAGCCGTGGAACTAATAATTAACGAATAATTTTATTTCGTTTCTTGAAAATGGTCTCCGAAGCTGATCAAATCTCCGAATCGCCTCCACTTACAAAAAAATATATGCATTACATAATGTATCCCCCCAAACCATACAACTTTTCTATAAAAAGTTTTTTCATACCATGCATACTTTAGAAGTTAATCAGGGTGAACGTGTTGCGTGGACCACCCTGTATATTTGCGTTGAAATCCTTTCGTGGGGCACCCTTCTTCTTTCCCACGTTGCAGCATCTCTCGACCTCCCCTCCGTGTCGGTTCGAGGACTCGCCTCCGCCCGCACGGGAATGTATTCCGTTCGATTTTCTGGAGCAAACAGAGATCAGAATCTGTTGAAAACGCCACTCTGTGTACCGTCCAGTCCGTACGAATCTCTTGTAAATCGAAGCCACGTTTAGCCTCTGTCGCGTTCAGTTCTTCTCCTTCGAGAGAAATTTTTCAATAGTGCTCCGCTATCATAAAATTGCATTTTTTTAAAAAGATTTTTCTTTAACCGAAATAGTTTTTAGTAGGCACTCTTACGTTTCCACTGTAAGCACCCAGAAAGCTCATTCCGATCAGTTTGTTAGTTCAACAATTATGATTTATTAAAAAAAGATTGGCACTAAAAAACCAACAATATGTCAAATTTTCAAAAATCCTTCGAGATACGTCTATATATCACTAAAATCCACAGCATAGCCAAGTTTCTAGAAATTCCGAAATCTTACTCCAGAAACTGTCCAACTTAGCGTGGAATGGCCCTCCGCAGACTGATCAGTGAGGAAGATCGTGTTTAGGATATCAAAACCACAAGTGATCGCAGATTCGACTTGAATTCCTTCCCTGGGCCGAGGGGAATCGCGGGACTTTCTAGACAGGTTGTATCATTAGGTTCCGTAAATGGAAACTTGTTGGAAAATCGCCAGGGTTCGGCCACTACACGA